TGCAAAGCCAGGGAGAGGGGAGAAAGCACAGGATGTATCCATGGCTACTGGTCATACATGGTTAGAGCACAGAATGCACTGTGGAAGGTGACAGAAATGCACCTGTGGAGGTGACTGAGGCCAGCAGGAAGGGGCTGGCCCTTACCCTGTGGAAAGGCATGAAGTGGTTATGTTACATCACCATGGTCACCTGCTGGAAAGGTCCCTCATGTGTCATTGTGAAGGAGTGAAACCTAGAGACTGGGATACCATGGTAGGAGCCTGAATGCATCGAGACAGCAGATGATGAAGGCTCTGCAGTCAATGGAGGAGGCAATATATTCGAAGTTCATTTATAAAAATAAAATCTAGAGTTGTATCAATCATTCAAGTTCATTAAGTTAGGAAGTTGGTACACGTAAAAACAAATGCCAGGTGATGTTACTGGATGAAGAGAGGAAATGTAAGACGTAGCCAACTGACTGGCTAAGGGACATATGCATTGGGGTCTGGGGACAAACCACATGGAACTGCCTGGTGGGAGCGAAAGTGAAAATGGTCATCAATAGTTTATCATATAATGTTCTAAATGGGACATCTTAAAGAGTAAAAGTGGGCACTGAGCAGTTCTACCAAGGCATAAACAGGACTGTATTGGGTACACTGGCAAGTTCACTCCCTAGTTATCTAGGAGATGCCCTGTAACCTGTGAGCTTCCTGGAAAGGAGCTTCCTGGATGGACTCAGGAAATGCTTATTAGGGCTAGAGAGAAGATTCTGGAATTCCTTGAGATATATTCTGGGGATTAACAGGGAGGAAATACAGAATGAGAGGAGAGAAATGGTCTAAACTACATCTATTAAAGTTGTAAGCAGCAGACACCAGAAAGTCCATGTCTTAGCAAGGCAGGGAGAATGACTCTCGGTAGCTAGTTTATGTCCCCTCTAGGGTTCCTCCAGATAATCAATGCGGCCCAAAGGAAGCAACAATGCAATTACTCTTCACTGAATATTCTAGAATAAGTGTTTTGTTTTTTAAAAAACCCTTCCCTTTGTTTACATACAGCCTAACATTTTCAAAAATAATTTGACTAAAAACAGGAAATAGTCATTTAGAATAAGAAAGTTTCCTATTTATCCTGATTAACATCTAGATCCTGTGACTTGGTACTTTGAAGATACCTTATCTTTCTTTTATTTAAACAAGTTATACAATTTTGTATGACAAGAAAAAACTGTAGTAAGTCCTATTATCTTGTTCTCTTTGAAGCAAAGACAGAGAAATAAAGAATCCAAATTTGGGGGTTCCATGTAAATCTTGGCACATACTTACCTATCCAGGCTACCAGGAGAACGAGTGTGGCTGCAATGGGGTGAGAGAGTGTCAGATTCCTATAGAGCTAAAAGCTAATAATGCATATCAGAATGCAATCCTAATACAATGTAGCAATGATTTTAGGATGGCAATAAAAGGGCTACCAGAGGACAGTGGGCCTGCCCAGAAATGACCTCTAGTATGCTGAAAATAAGTGTCTAGAAGACAGGTAAAAGTCAGATGTCAGGTATACATTTGGGAGTAGCTATCACTGCTACAGTTAAAGCTGAAAATCTGAATAAACTCTTTAAAGAATAGGAGGAGGAGCTGAGAATGGAGCTTAGGAGTGATGTCAAGGGAGAAGTGGGGAAAGGGCAATGTTCTGGAAGCCCAGGGAGAAAAGAATTTGCATTAAATAGTCAACATATTAAATATATTCAGAGAGACGGAACAGAAAAATGAGTGATAAGAAACCACAGGTTTTGGCAATTGATAAGCTAGAAATATAATCTATTTCCATAATCAAAAACTCATGCTATCCCCTAAATTAAAAAAAATTGAGTTTTATTTGAGCATTTGAGTTTTATTCAGTGATGCTCAAATTCAGATAATCGCCTGAATTTGTTTCTGGTACAGGAACTGGACTTGCTGAAGATCTCATGGCAGAGCAGAGAGCTTCAAGTAGAATTCCTTTTTCGATTCACACAAAGTGATTGAAACAAAGAAAGGTTTATCCTTGGTTCAGCTTTCTCTCTGAAGTAGACATAGGCCAGCTTGAGAGAGGTGCTTGTATTGCTAAACACTGCATGGTGATTTGTATTAATTTCTTAACCATTAGAAAAGAGACCAACTACTAAAATGGAACAAGCACTTATGGGGGATTGTCTATGAACTGGCCTTGGGAAATGTTTCACCATTTCCCAAGACTTAAGTTTCCTCATTTACAACATGAGGGGGTTGGACTGGATCAGTTATGGGCCTTTGAGCTCTGAAATTCATATGGAAAGAAAGTTGCTTCTTGGATAATGATGCTACTACTACCTGTGAAGGCTGGACATGCATAGATTGCTGTAGAGAGAGAGAAAAAAATCCTGTTTTTTTATGCTCTGTGGTAAGAACAGACTCTCTCTCTACCAACACATTAATTCGTAACTGTAATTTCTATTTTTCAGAAAACTAGCCTTAGTAACTTAGTTGTGACTAGATAGTCCTAAAGAGTTATCCCAATCAAAATAGAAAAATTCTTTTAAGACAAATGATGGAAAAATATCTTTGAATACTTTTGACTGGAAAGGAAGAATGCACAATGAAAAAAGTAGTGGAACCAGGCAATCTGGCTTTATTCCCAACCTCTATCTATTAAACCCTCTAGGATTGAAATATCCTAATTATAAGATAAACAGATTAGATAGACTGGAAGATTAAATGTCCATTCCAGGGCTACCAAAACCAAACCTATTATTTTAATAGCTTAGAAATATGGGAATATTTTCAATCACGTGCCTTTAAAAATCTCTTTCCTTATAAAAAAAATTCATCTAACACTTCTTAAAGTAATAATACAAAAGAGTCATATTCTATGGGAGAAAGAGGTCATATTGTCCTTTACACAGTAGTAACAGAGCATCCACTGCTTGCCAGGATCTTGGGAATCAATGTAGATACTATCTTTGATCATCAAAACCCCAGGATTGGTAAAGAGCTCATAATGAAGGAACTGAGCAATACTCTCCACCAAAAAAGGGTAACTCCTTGGGAAAAATTCTCTGCCTAGCAGGAGGGGCCCAGTAGCCCAAAATTCCAAGTCAGAGATGCTCGAGTTTTCTTTTATTTTTACCTACAGGTTGGATGCATGCACAACCTACTCCTTTCAGTAACATCTTGCAGTATAGAAGTTTTCTTTTAGGGATGTCAGTAGGTTTCAATGTACTCTTTCTATGTACCTCTTCACCATCAAATGAGAGTCACAGTCTTAGATTAACTGTGCATTTTCAAATTTAAACTATTCATGTTTCCCATTTTTGCCTCCTAAAAATTTTATGTCAAATGCTGCTGCATTCCATTTAAATCTATGTATGTATATCAAGTTCTCAGAATTCTTCTTCTTTTGTTAAAGGATACGGTGTGTGTTGGGGGAACTACTGCCCAAAAGTATTGAACCAAATCTTGCCTTTTTCTCACTTCTTAAAAACCAAAGTCAAAATGAAAGGCCTTTGCAGGAGATCCTAACAGGAAATTACCCATCCAGGAGCTCCAAATACACATCTCTAGGTACTTCTATCTGGAATGAACAAAACACTTAGATTCAGCATATCTAAAGCTACATTCTATTTTTCTGATTAGGGTGCTGGCTTTTCTTTGCTTTTTCCTGGAACATCATTGTCTTTCTATCCGGCTTCTTCCATTCCTATGTCTGCTCTGTGTTCCATCTCTGGACACTTCTTGTCTACAATGTCTCTCAATATTTTCCTGATTCACATCATCTTCCATCATTTAGTCTCTCCCTGTGTTTCCAATTTGTCCAAAATTCCAACTTCTAAATGTTATTGCTAAATTCATGAATTTAAACTGTGAAGCAGATTATCTTTCCCCTTTTTCTAAAACTTTTCATTGACTTTACTTGCACTAGTAAATTCAGAATAAACTCCTTAATGTCACTGAAGGCCTCATGCCTACAATGAAACTCCCAGTCTGATTTTATTTCTCGCGACTCCTCCTTAACTCAGTTGAAGCTTTTTTCTACCTCCTTATCTCCATGTCTCCATTTTTACTTCTCCCTCCACCTGAACTACTCTGCTTTCTCAATGGTGAGTGGTACATTTAACCCATTTGGCAAATCCCCCAATAATTTCCATCTCCTCCAGAATGAACCATCCCTAAGTCTAACATTGCTACAACTATTCTTTGAAGTATGTATGATCTTCTATTTTTCACAATTGTTCAATTTTTATACTATTTCAATAGCATGCCTATTATCCTTGTGTTAATTTTGTGTTTCTTTTATTATATACTTGTCTTATAACCTGCACACTTGCCACTAGACTAGGAGCAGAAATAAGCACAGTAAACATTATTGTGCACACTGACAAACATTCAGGAGCTTTCTAATGGCTTACTATTATTATTGCTAAAATGATTTAGAAAAAGCATGATTTAACTAGACAAAGCATACTTTAAAAAAAAATAATCAGTACTTTTTATACTCTGGGTGAAATCTAGAGCTCTCTCTTAGATATCAGTCAGAAAGCACAGGTAGTGCAAAAATTTGACAACTGAGGAAACTGGGCAAGATCAAAAACCCTGCAGTACAGGTGGGAACCCTGACCCCACTTCTAACTAGTTGCACAGTCTTGGAAACAAACAACCCAATGGACTAAGATAATATCAATCTTTTTCTCCTATTGTAGATGACATAAAATGTTCAAAATTACTTTCATATTCTTATTAATAGCTTTTGAATACAATGATTTTTTAAATTTCATGAAAGTCTCTTGTACATTTAAATTTTATAAAAAGTCTTATACCCTTGGTGATATATATCAGCTGGGTAGGCAAAAATTGTCAATTTGTACCAGTAGCTCACCATCAACTGCAGGGGTATCATTTGGGTCTTCAATTATTTGACTTAAATACACTCAATCGATAACAAACAATATTGCCACTTATCAAATTATGACTGCAATGAGGCCAGCTGCTTCAGGACACACCTTAAAACCTTTTGAAGCAGCAATATGGGCAGCAGTCCAGCCTTCTCTGTCAGCGTGGTTAATGAGGTCTGCAGGAACAGCAGGCTTCGACGTGCCTTCAAGACAGTCTTCTCCCCCATCCAAGGCAAAGAAGCCTGGCTCAGGCACCTCCTCACTCAAACAGTCTCCAGGAGCTGGTGCTCTATGGTACATGAGAAGCTTGAGGCTATCCACATTACCAGCATCCACAGCTGCATGAACTGGTGTCCAACCATCCTGAAAATAAATGACCAGGGAGGGGGAAGGGGTCATAACAACATTAATGTTGAGAACAGTATTATTTAAAGTCTATCTCTAAATGTTCTTGGGCATGGACCACTGAGCTGGGGAAAACAGGCATTCCAATCCTACCACCGATGAGCTATGTTCTTTGCTTGTGCCAGCTGCTGTAATTCCCACTGCTATGACTCATGTTTGCTGTTTTCTAACTGTTTCCACCTAATAGTTAACCATCTGGAGTGAGCAGGCAGTGCCCAGGTCTATAACTGAATATAATATATGATAACCCAGAAATCTCAATTTACTATTTTAAAAGAAAACAAACTTTAAAGAGAATTTTAAAAATATATTCAAGAATAATATTATTAGTAATATACTAAAAGAATGCTGTTATAAACCAGTTTTACTTAAAGGGCAGTGGCTTAACTCTAATCTTAAAAGTTTATGCAAACCATTCAAGAAGCAAATATTCTAAATAATAGGGGAAAAGGTAGACATACAGGAAAAACAAAGTCGAATAACTTCATTGGATATGGATGGGCCTCTTCTGAGTGTTCCATGATTGCAGAAGGATACTGATGCATATGAACTTAAGAAATGTTCCAAAAATTACTGGGTCCATATCTGAGAACTTGTGACTATGGAGCCCCTATAAGCTCATTCAGCTGGTTGGTAGAGCAGTCATGGTACTCTTTTCCTAGAACACTTTCTCAGGTGGAATTCCCAGACCAGTAGCATCAGTATCCCCTCAGAACTTTCTAGAAATATGGATCCTTAATCTTTACCCTAGGATCAGAAATTCTGGGGAAAGTTGGGCCACCAACCTGTTCTAAGGTTATTAAAATGTACTGAAGTTGGACATGCACTATCTAGGGAAAAATCTTGAATCCATCTAGAGTATCTCATTTCTATATAGAAATTGGTCTGCCAACTACAAAGCACCCATTTTCATTGTTTTTTAAACTTTTTAATTAAAAAAACACTATTTTTATTTTGGCTTATTTTATTTTACTACCTTTGTATTCTCCTTGACCTGATTTTGTCATGTAATATTTCATATTACTGTATTACAGGTATTTCAGGGAGCTATAACTTTAAAAAATAAGGTAGAAGATAGAAAAACAGACAATAAATGGAAGCTATCTCAATTTAGGCTGCAAACGGTCACTTATTGAAGCTGATCCTGGATGATGGGCCTTTCCTCTTTTTCTGGATCTCACACCAATAAAGCCCACTTGGCTAAGACAAGACCCCAGCTGGGCAGTATCTAGAATACTAAACCCTTAGTCACCAGCCAGGTAAAGCAATTTCATGGCTCCTTCTTCACAGGATTGTGGGCACCAACACCTTGGTAGCAGTTTGACTTAGGCCCTAGAGTATAAGTGTTCTTGACCTTCCCTGATTTACATTACAAAGCCAACACAGCCTTTTCTGAAAAACACTTTTCAGACTTCCATTCTCCTCTGTTACTTTCTTATTAAAAAGCAAAAGACACAATTATTCCCTGAAGATCTCCTGACAATTATACTGTTCATTGCCTTAGCTCTAAAGATTTTGTCCAGCTCCTCAATAACTACCTTTAGAGCTTTGCTTCTGTGTCCTCTTGCACAGAACATCACTTCAATTTTTACGTTACACTATTTATTTTTCATTCAATCTGCTTATATAAAATTCATTTACTTTTATCTATAAGTTAGAATTTTAATAATGAATAAATATATTGTGTAAACACCATAGACTTCTTAGGTAAAACACATAAAATAATAAAGAATTGGAAAAATAACTATTTTCTTAAATTAATGATATAAATACAAAGTAGAGGGTTTAAAAACAACTTTAAAAAAGCTTTAGCAATGAGGTTCAGTGAAAAATGTTTATACCTGTATTATTATATCTCTGCTGGTATCATTAATTTTTGGTTCTTGTTGGTGAAATTACATAAGAAAACTCAAATCTAAGATTATTATTTGTTGAATGAAAATAAACTTACACCTCCATTGTCTTGCCCGATTCTGAAAGTAAGACACAAATATTTGTTTTCCTGTTTTAAAGATAAATCATCTGAGGCTCAGGGGTTGAAGGACTGGTTAGGCTAATGGACAAGGCTTTGTATTTGGAAAGTGTCTGACTTCTATTTGATTCTCTTCTCTGCTAATTAAAAATGTTCTGTATATTTGTGATTTTTCAAAAATATTTTTAATCCATGTTTGGTTGAATCCATAGATATGAAATCCCAAGTTACGGATAGTCACCTGTATTTTGCTTTTCTAGATGTAGAGTCTGAATAAACAGTATATACATGAGGGGAAGAAAACTGATACTTACTTGGGTTTTTACACTTCGGTCAGTGCCAGCTTCCAACAAGAGTTTAACACATTCTTTATTTCCATTTTTACAGGCCAGGTATAGAGGTGTCTGTCCTCCAGCAGCAGCATGATTAATGTGAGCATCATATGCAATTAATAATTCTACACACCTAACCACAAAGTAAGGATTAATTACATAAAAATTGAGTTTGACCCCTAAAGCATCACCTACCAAGATACTAAATATACACACACAATGATGCTAAAAAGCAATTCTGCATCTTCATACACATCTATTATTTCTATGTATTGGTTATTGTGGGTCTTATATTTTCCTCACAAATCTAGAAAATCTATTTTATTTGTTTTTATTTTCTTTTTTTCTAGAGTGTCAGAAAATGGTGAACTAATACCTTTAGTCACAACTAAATTACTTGCACAAAAATTTAAAATAGTACATTTGATCAAGTCCTAAAATATGGTTTGTGTCACTTCTCTTCAATCAACTTCTGAAAGTGGAATCCTTGGAACAGGTTTAGCTTGTTAGAATGAATGCTTTAAATATACTCTCTGTGTGTATATATATAAATACATAAATAACATATATGTATTTATATAATAAAAATACAATTTGTGGTGCAAAATAGTTTTAACCTTGCAAAAAGTTAGGCTGAGTCATTCTGAAAATTTTCACTTGAGAAAATATTTGCAAGTCGCATAGACAGTAGGGCACCATGTACCTCCTCTATAAAAAGTAACAGGGAGGCTGAGAAAAGGGCTGTCTTAGACAGAAATGACAGCAGAGAAGTTATCCTGCCTCCAAGCAGATACTCACTGCCCTGAGAATCAAGAAGGAAACCAAGAAGTAAAGTCAAGACTTGGTGACACTCTAAATCATAATCCAATGAAAAAGTAATTCACTTCATATTTTGTTAACACAGATGCATGGTTTGTTGTTTTGGTTTTCCTTTGCATCATCTGGTTTGTTTATATCTATTTTCAAAACAAGTCACTGTTATTTATATATGTGTGTATCATACATATTTATTAACTTATTCCTGGATTTCTATAGTGTTCTTCCCTTTTACAAAGGGAACCTCCTGTACTGTGACTATTATGCCCTGCAAGCAAGTGGCCCCACAGATTGCCTGGTGAGAAGGGAGAAGCATATAGCTCAGGAGAAATTCCTTTTGCAGGATGGGGGGTACATTCAAACAGTAACAACAAAATCAGTTTTTATGATTGTTAATAATAAACTCAGGGTGATGAGATATATTAGATATGCAGAAAAAAATACAACACCATACCTCAAACTGATACATTTTGAATATTATGATATTTAAATTTATGCTTAATAATATTTATGTGATATATTTATTAATATATTTATTCTTAAAACTCATATTTTAAGAATTCTATAACTTGTTAAAGAACATTTCTATCAGGAAAATTGGATTAAAATAGTAAAAGTAGCTTGCATTTTCTACAATCTGCCTTTTCAGCTCAGGAAGAGAAAGCAACTTAGCTTATTCAATTATTAAAATATGACCTTTTAAGAAGTACCTATTCATATTTTGTACCTATCTGACTTAGTAAGCTCCTGAGGAAATCACTGCTCAAGATATGTGCATTTTTAATTAATAGGCTTTCAGTTTATACTTGAACTATTTTTGCTACATGAGATTCCTGCTTCAATTTTTTTTTTCTTAACACGGCAAAACAAGATGAACACTTGGTATTTAATAACAAATAAATTGTCAGTAGTAACAATTATTACAAATAATATAATTCTATGGTTTTTTTTCTTTTTTTAATGCCATCATAAGTACAAAAATTGTGTTTTGTCTGGTTGTTTTTACTTTTCTCTTTTTTTCTAGACTGTCAGGAAATGGTGAACTAATACTTTCTCCACAGCCCCTTATCTCACTGCAGGTTGATGTGCCATGGATGCTCTTCAACATGCAACCTGGACACAGCATAATTTCCTTTGTCACTTCCCTCATTTGCAACTATTTAACTATTATCAAGAAGAAAAAAATTAGGATCCTACTTTGCATTCAAATATGTTTAGTGAATCTATTTGCCAATGGATTTCAAGTACTAGTTTACACATTTAGCTGGACCTAAAATAGGTGAGCAAAATACAAAGAGAAGTGATTTTCATAGAAAAGAAAAAAAAAAGAATCAAGAGCATCACTTACTCAAAATGTCCCTGAGCAGCTGCAGCACACAAGGGTGTGAAGCCATTTTTATCAGCAGCATCGACTTGGGCTTCTGCATTCAGCAGCAATCTCACACAGTCTATGGATTTTAATAGGAAGTCATTTAAATTCCTCATTTAGAGTCATGATGAGACAGATTCAATGCAAGCTGCAAACAGATTCTAAACTCAAAAGACCTCTCTCACACAGTTCATCTGACAATTCTATCCTGACAGATATGAGATTCCACAGACCTCCTTTCCCAAAAATGATGATGCCCCCAAACTCACCAATGAAGACATGATCTTTCATTGCTTTATGAAGAGCTGCTGATGAGTAAAAGGAATATCATGTGCCAGAAAAAGCTTTACCAGATTTTTCCACCATCCTATCCCAGAAATGTTTTTGAAGAGAGAACCAAATGTATTTACCAAATTGAAATATCATACTTTGCATTTAAATAGCCAAAAATTGTTGCTTTATGATGTTCATTTAATCAAAATGTTTCTGTATGGTAGCCATCCTACAACTTACCTACATGAATGAGGATAAGAGTCCTAGAGAACTTCATTTAACTTAGAAATGAGTATCTCCTGGAAGACCTGTTATGTTCCTTATGTTATGATATAGATTTAATTTCTTTAGATTAAAAATAATTCCTACAGTGCTTTTGAAGCAAAGAATAATTTCAAAATACTTTGAAACTACTGAACTATTGGTTCACCAGAATCTTCCATTTATCTGAATTAATCGACAATCATATGGCTCACATATGCAACGCTTTTAACTTTTGCACTTGCAGTCAAATTATTTCTTTTTCAGCACTACCATATGTTTTAGTATATTTAACTACAGGATTTGCATTTTAAAGAACATGAATAATTCCCAGTCTTCATGGATATGTCATTTGTAATTATATAACTTCTCAGTTCTCTGAAAAAAAGTCCAAATAACTATAAACTACTGTTACTACTAAACAATTTCAGACCCATCACTCTTCTTAACTACTAGAATTTTCCATCACTGTGGCATTCCCTAAAGCCCTGATGCTCTGACTTTCTTCCACATCAGGTATTTCTAACAGACAAATTAGGGCCATTTATTTCTGACCAAAGTGACTGCAGATGGATGACTTTATTTTAAAATGTGCTTTTAAATGAATTGACCTCAAGTTTCTACACGTGCATTTCAGTGTATATAAAACAACGATTACTTTTAATTAGCTGCTGCAGTTAAAACTTTACATTAAGAAACTTACAATTTGTATTCTTTAATGTTTCTAAAACATTAAAGCTCATGTAAAAAAAAAATCTATTACTACCTGTAAGAGAAAATTGAAGCCAAAATGAGCATTTGTCTCATAACAGTGGTTCCCAGTGATATTGGCATTCCATCCTTCTGCAAGCGTGAGTTGTGGTATGAAAATCTCTCATCATTTTTACCTGTATGTCCATTCTTAGCAGCAGAATACAAGGCAGAATGGCCATCTTCACAGGAGTAATTAATGTCCAGTCCTTCTTCATTAAGCAGCATTGATAATAAAGTGACATTTCCCTGGGCAGCAGCTTGCTGAAGAAGGGTGGGCCTGCCAGCCAGGGGGGCAGGACCACCACTCATTAGCAAAGGGGTTAGGGAGGGTGACCAGCCTGCAGGTTAAAGTGACCATCGTTAGAGAGTAGGAGCAAGGACAGGATACAGATATTATCATTCCTTTCTGAATCACACACACAAACATAGCAACATGTATTCCTAGAGGATTATGTGGTTTCTAACATTATCAATCTGTTAATATTTTCTTAGCATGAATCTAATCTGTACTGTTATTTCAGCTCTTATATCTGCTGCTAATTAAATTAACATATGTGGTGATGAATTATTTTAAGTCATCATTCTTACACAGTTAAGTGTTAAAGTCATGACTGGTTTTAGAAAACTAAGATGGCTGTCACATTTTAAAAGTTTAAATTCCTCTTCTGCATTTCATAAGAATTTTAATTTTAAAATGATGTAAAGAATTCCTCAATTTCAACATCAGTCTGAAAAACTAAAACGGATAATTTTAGGCTTAAGGTAGAAATGATGGCAAGAAACAGATTTTCCTTTTTTAACCATGTTTCCAATTTATACTTACTCTTATAAATTTTATTCAAACCAACAATATGGGCCTAACACTGTCAAAGAGTCTGTTTTTAGTCCTTGAGTACACTTAGTTGGGAATTAAAGTAACAGATGCTAACTGTTATTCACTATTAAGAGCTAACGGAAATATATACGTATGAGTGGATCTAGAATACACCAGCACAAATATTCAATAACAGTTCTGAAGACTGTATCATCTGACCATCTTTACAACAAGTTTAACAAATTTGTTTAACCAGCCAACAAAACAGGACACTCTATCATATAGTTTAAACAAAAGTCATGAGTTATCATGGTTAGATATTTCTAATCAGTATTTAGCAGCTTTAGAAGAGAATCTGTTAAGTGTATGAAGTCGGCTACATATAGTATGGAAAAGTTTCTGAATTCTTCCTTGATCAAAAGGCTGTAAAAACAGTAAAAATGTTTATTTAATGCGGTATCTATGTATTTGTGTCTTTTAGGCTTAAATACAATGAATTTTCAAAATAAGTCATTCTGGTTTTCTCTTTATAGAACCCCAGTACCTTTCTAAGTAATGTTGTGGACATGGGCACATATCCACTGCTTGAGGTGGACTTTCTACATATGCAGAATTATATTCCACTTGGAAACACACATAGATGAATATTTTCTACCCTTGTGCATTAATATTAGGATAACATTCTAGGTACATGCTTTACATTAATTTGTGTGTAATACTCAATTATTATGATTAAAACCTAAATTATGGGCCTTTGATTATTTTAATAAATATAAAGAAAGTACATATCAAAGAAAGTTCTCAGTTTTTTTTTTAAAAAAAAAGCCTTATAAAATAAAACAAAACCATTCATACCAATATTACACTGCTTATTAAAAGCAGTGTAATATTGGTATGAATATTATATCTGGATATTATATCTTTATAATCAATTATTTGGGCCCATAACAACTTTATTATTTTACCCTATTATGACTGTAGTGTCAGACAAAATTAAAATGCTCATACAATTAAATATTTATATAAACTTAATGCTATTTTCCTATTGACATTCATTAGGTCTTCTTACAAAAGTAGTATGTTTACTTCATACTTACAAGAAGGCTCTTCTCTGGTACATTTTACCTTTTGTATTTTCTTTAAAACAAACAAACAAAAAAAACAGGCCCACAAAAATTAAATCAGTACTTATTAGAAATGGATGACAAACAGAGAAATTATAAACACCAAGGAATGAAACCTTGTAAAGCAAATACAGGCAACAGCAAGGCATCGCACCACTGTCTTCTGCAGAAAGGGGGGAACATGGCTCACACTTTCAGCATCAATCTGCTTCTCCGACACATACACTCTCACACACTCTCACAATGACTCACAGACTCACATACATTCATATGCACACATATTCTCACTCTCTCTAGATCTCACCCATGGGGTCATGGTTATTGCTATCCTTTTATGAACACCGACATGCACATATTGAACAGTTCACTATTATTTTTGCTTTCATTTTTCTTTTTTTTTTCCCACCACAATTCTAGGCTTTGGGAGGAGACAATATATTTTTCAACTGTCTTATATATACATAGAAATAATCAATTATGGACATACTTTCCTGGGAAATCCTATTTTAATGTTAACTGAAAGAGAATATATGTTGAGAAATTTTCTCATTCTTTAGACCACTCAAGAGTCTTCAAGTTCTTATTCTATCCTATGAAACTATGGAAGACAAATCAGTATCTTTGTTTTCTTAGAGAGCTGCAAGATATTTTAAAAATCTGTACAAAAAAATGCCTTATAAATACCATGTATTCTTAAACTTTAAATGTTAGATGCTCACTATCCTCTCCAATTTTCTCTAGCACAGACTTATTTTTATAAATCCTGCTATAAATATGGGAAAAATAAATTAAAACCACCACAAGACTATATTGCCTAAAATTCCAAACAAAGATAAAAATGGTAATACTTGGTTAACTGGTTTAGTAGTGACAGACCTATATTCACACAGCTACTCTAATGATGTTAGAAAGAGGCATTCAGCTTTACAGTGTCCCAGATGTTAGTGAGGGTAAGCACTGGGCACAATACATCATGGAGGGAACAGAGAACATGCAATGGCAGAGTGAAAGAGATGTTGAGAACAGCTTCCGGCATCAGCTTCAGAGGGTGGAGAAGGTTAATGTCACAGCCTAGACATTTCTTGTATTCTGGTTTAGCCTTCAAGCCAATCGTACATGAGAATAATTTTTAAGATACATGTTTAAAGAAAAAAAAAATCTAAACCAAATTCAACAAAATGTGCCAAATAAACAGTAATAACAAAAAGAAAACAGAAAAGAAAATTCCAAGGGTATGGGAACTCAGCTGCCTCGAGTGCCTTCCGGTTTAGGCTTCTGTTCATCTAACTCAAATGTGTTCATTTGACAAGTTCAGAAGGAACAAGACATTCTAATTCATTTAGAATTTAAAATGCTATTTTAAAATTTAACATTTGGCCATAAAAGTTGCCAACAGAATTTGGGTATTTTACAATGCAATCCATTAAAATGGTAATTTGTGTCATTCCAGTCAGTCCTCCTCTGGGCTTTAACTTAGTTTTAACTGTCACAGGCAGAAGCGGACAGGACACCCAGGATTTGAGTGTTTGAAAGATCATAGGATCTGGCATTTCTCCAAGGAGGGAGAGGCAGTGAACTGTTGTTTTAAAATTCATCAGGCAAGCTTAAGACATCCTTTGGTACTATAATTTTTTGACTTAGTGGCTTTCAATTTTAGATGACAAAGCTAATATTTCAGAGAGAATTTGCTCTGCCCAGTGATACCCAAAAAGGGGTAGAAATGGACTAATTCTGCCTTCTTATACTCAATAAAGTACATGTTTGATCATGGAAATGGGGACAGACACCTGGCAGGTATTTGGCAGTGGTCCTTTGTCCCTATTCCCTGCTCCTCACAACTACAATGGCATTAGTGGATGTTTAGAAGGTTAATACCCTCCAACGGGCTTATGGCCTGGAGAGGCACAAGCTCGCCCAGGCACAGCCAGGTTAAGAAGCAGGATGCAGAGAGTTTGGGTGCTTCTAAGTTGCAATGGTTGTGGTGGCAAGAAATGGGGCAACTGGTCTAGGGGTGTAGCTCAGTGATAGAGAACTCGCCTTGCATGCATAAGGTCCTGGGTTTGATCCCCAGCACCACAGGGATGGTTGTGGGGGAATCTAAATGGGATACAGAGTTGAAGTCCTATATATCATTTGGAAAGTTCAAGCTGACCTACATCCACAGTGTACACAGTTAAACACCCCCATTATCTAAGTGCAATAACGTTGTTTTCAACCCCCAAACAGGAGGTGCTCAGTGTAGACTTGGCTGAAAGACTGAAGACCTCCAATGCCTTTCCTCTCCCCTAAGAAGCCACATCTGGTGACTGAATGGTGCAGAAACCTGTTATTCCACCAAAGGTAATCCTGCAAAGTTCTGAGAATACTTGGCCAAATTGCAAAGAAAACAGAAAACAAGGAACCTGTTTCACATATCCTCAATGGTATTTCATTGGAACTACTATTTATATTCTCTTTGGCTTTCTGAACACAAGCAAAGAACACTTTTCAGAGTGGTTCTGCTTACTCTATCCCAAATTCCACAAATATACAACAAATTAATAAGAGTTCTCCATCTTTGAAAACTTAAAATCCTGCTGACAAAATGCTCCTCAGTCATAAATGTTGGTTTTAAGGCTTCTCTGCTGGAAACAAAGGGCCTCAGTGTTAGGCCCAAGAGCATAGGCAACAATTGGCAGAGCCTCACAGTATCAAAGAATAGACAGGAGGATCACAAGTTCAAGGCCAACCTTAGCCACTTAGTGAGGCCCTAAACAACTTCTCAAGACTGTCTCAAAATGAAAAAAACAAAGTAATGGGGATGCAACTCAGTGACAATGTCCCTGGGTTAAATTCCCAGAACCAGAACAAAACAAAACAAAACACTGGCGAAATTTATGTATCTGGAATGTGTTCACAATCTGTGCAGTTATGATAAAGATCTGCCACTGCTCCAAATGTTTCTGGAACTTGAATTTTACAACAACCTAAAGATCTTACAGCACATTCTCTGGTAGAAATTCTTCTGAATGGTAGAAAAATCCTTGTTCTGAGATTAGATTTAATTTGTGACAAGTAGCCAACATTATTCCAGTCCATGAGGAACAATATTATTTTGGATGAAAAATATGGAATGTTTAATGTCTATAAAAGACATCACAAAACAATACTAATGTCTATTCTAAAACAAATTCCCTCAAATGCTGGAAATACCACCACCACCATGGCAGTAAGATCACCTCTGTTCACTGACCACTTATGCTTTTCCAGGCTCAATGTCAGGCTCTGTGACATTTCTGATCTTCCTAACAACCACTCTCCCCATGAGTAGTATAAGTTTCACATTAAGGAAGAGAAAATGTGCTCAGTGTGGAAAAAAATCACCCCAAATGCAGTTTAAATGGCAGAGCCAACACAGATCTGAGTAACTTAAAATGCTGTTTCCAGTTTTCAATTGTACTCCTTGAAATGTGGATGTAGCCTGTCAAAGACTTTAATTTCAAGGAGACTATTTATAACGTGATAAATAAGTTCTGGTGTATTGACCTCATTACCTGATAATCAACAAGTATAATGTGCCTGTTTCTCAAATTTCTACTCTTAAGTTTTAAATGAGATACTTTTCAAACTCTCCTTTAATTAAATTTAAAGGAAAAGTGGCAATTACTAAGATGACTGGTAGGAGACTTCTCTGAAATGTCAACAAAACTTGACATGGTAAAATTGTTGTAGAACCACACATTTGCCCAACAAAGAACTAATGCAGGCTGGAGCTTAAGGAAGTGGTAGAGCTCTTGCTTAGCATGTGAAAAACCCTGGTTCCATCCCCAGCACTGCAAAAACAAAAACAAAAATAAACAAAACTAATCTGGTCATGCCAATACAAAGCAATGCTTCAGCTAGCAACCTACAACATAAGGGAAATAATCTAGTTCTTCTTTGTTCATCATTCCCAGAGTCAGTGACTTCACAAACCCCAGCTGTAATGGAAACCTTCTCTAATATGCCCACGTGCTGTTATCCATCTGTGCTCTAGTGTTGGAAGATGATAGCTTCAAACAGGGTAAATGGCTTCTGAAATAACCTAAACTTAGAACAGAGATTTTAAAAACATTCACACTCCATTTTTGAGGACAATAAAAAAAAAACTTAATACCAAACTGATATTAAAACTCAAAATGTACCAATTACAGAACAAACCTAATCAATTTGATAATCCGAGTAGTGTTAGTAAGGACTTAAAAGGATTTTTTAATGTCATCCCAGAAGGGACAGAATTGAACACGAACTGTCTGATGATCCATTAATACTGAGATTCTGTGAGATAAATATTTAATAAGAAGGGATATGCTTTCCTCCCATGGAAATGTTTTAGTCTCTCTAAATTAATGGCCTTCTTGTGCTTCAAACCACTATTTTCAGGTTATTTTAAAAGAAGAAAGCACTGTGCATAACGAAACCTCAATTCATAGAGCAAGATGAATCACCATACCCTGGAGCCTTCAAAGAAAATTACAAAAAGGAAAGAAAAAAAATTAAATTAAAAAAGTTTTAAGGCAACATGAAGGAAATGAAGGCAAGAGAGAAGACAGGCCATGTTCTTAAAAGAGGTTGGAATAGTCAATCCCTTTACCTGATGCTGTTACCAGGAGGCTGTCTGAGGATGAAGCACTAATAGGGTTTATGGAAGAGCAAGAGGCAGTGGTGGTGGGAATGACAAGGGAGCTGTCGGAACATGCAGGTTGGTTCTGTCCAGGGGTTTCAGCAGGCCAGGCACCCACCTGAGACGTGGCCAGGGCTGAGACGGCACAGCCTGAGGGTGCCACAGTTAAATCTATGGATGGTTTTGGTGGCAGCTGAGGGGAGGATGATTTAGGGAGGTTCTCCTCATTTATTACCCTGTTCCCTTGGGCTAAACTGGAGGGAGATGAAGCCACAATTTTGTTATCAACTTTGGCTCCTGCATTTGAAGCCCTGCTGCTATCCATAATAACCTTGAGTTGGGGGTGTGGCGGAGAAGGAGTTTGGGAGAGCCCTGGCTTTTTTGGAGGGATAGGAGGAGGATTTCCTCTGTCAACTCGTGCTACACCAGGAGTCTTTAAACCTGTCCGACCGACAGCAGAGTAGGTGCCACCATCCCCCGTGGGGGACATTCCAGGTCTGGGGGGAGGACCCGCTTGAGGGCTTGTAAATCTTGACAGTGCTTGGGTCACGGTATTCCGAGCTAGTTGCTTGGCCACTAGGTTGTCACGACTTGTAGGAGAGACATCTCTTGATGGAGGACTTTGGGTAGTATTTCCATTTTGATCTGGGTCATTAGCATTACCCTGAAATCTAAATCTAGCTGCTTGGATTCTTGGGTTGAGACCTGGATGCAAAGATGCATTGGCACATGGTGAATGTAAACTGTGCATAGGTGGAGTCTGCGAGGAATTCTGAGGAGCTGTGCCTGGTGTCTGAGCAGTGAGAGGGGCAGCACTACTGGGAACTGAGGGTGTGCTACTTGTTAGATCAGGTGTTGAGCCAGTGCTCGGTCCATTCTCCTCAACTCTGCTTGCACTTGGAGGTGGAAGAGTGGGCAGAGAGGAGCCCATCAAGTCACCATGGGAAGCCTGCCTGTCAATACCTGGTCTGACCAATGTGGCATTGGTACACACATTCCCTTTTGCATTTGCAGAAACTGTAGAGGGCTTTGCAGGTACAGTCAAAGGCAACTTCTTCACGTGGTCAGTGCTGTCTGTCACTAGGTCTGTCTGGCAAGCAACAGACCTTGTCACAGGTCCCTCTGTTCCCACAGATATGGAAACCAAACGCCTATCTTTTGTCTTTCGTGGGAGAGAGAGGCTTGGTTTGCTGTCACTTCCCCTTTTCAGTTGCTCAATCATCTTCTTCATCTTGTCTATCTCCTCTTTGAGGTCAGTGGTGTGTGCTTCTTCTCGGCTCAGCTTGGCACGCAGCTGTTCCCGTTCTGTATCAAACTCAGAGAGTTGTTTTTCCATCTGAGCTTCCATTTCTGTGCTTCTCCGTTTCTCAGTGGAGAGTTCCTCTTCTAATTCATTCATTTTCTTCTTCTCCTCTTCCAGTTTAGCCATGACTTCTTCCAGCTTCTGTGCCTCCTCTATGACTTTGCCTGAGAGCTGCTTGCACTCCTTCAGGAGCATCAGGACCACGTGCTTGTTCTTACCCCGCTCCTCCTCAAGGCGGGCAGTCAGCTTCTTGTGCTCCTGCTCCAGGGCTTGCAGCTGAAGCTTTTCCATTTCGAGCTGGAAGATATTCATAGGGAAACTCAGATTAATAAATGGGATAGACCTTTTAATCACAGAAGAGCATCTTAGGAGATACTAATTGATTTTCTAACTATTCGATGGTTTGTGTTAGTAAAAAATGCCACAATTTCAAAATGTGCTGTTGTAAAAAGACAACACTTTTAAAAATCCATTAAAATGAGAAAACAGCTATAAATGACTATGAAAAACATTTAGGGCTACAATAGAATTGTTTTAACCTGTTAAAGTCAACTATAGAAAAATAAGAATAATCAGATGCTTTGAATTGCAGAATTCAGAAAGTTTTGTTTTTTAAAAACAGAGCTCTATGAAGGAACTGATGATATTAAAAAAAACTAAACAAGATTCAATACTTTAAAATGACTACCCAATCTTTGAGGCTGAACTGATTGTGAAAAAGGCTGAAAACAGAGAACTTCAGTTAAATTATAAGCTCCTTGTATTTATTAATTGTATTACTTAGCTAAGTAATTTAACATGAGATTCTTATGATAGGTTATTGCAGAAATCTTATAAAATCATATATTGAGTTTTTGAAAACAATAGAGAGCTAAAGAATCATTTGATCAGCACTGAAATCAATGTGAGTAAACCTAAAGTCTTACCCTGTGTCTTACTTACTCCTGCTATTTAGCTACCTCTGAGGCCTCCCTAGTGATTCTTGAACAAGGTTCTGCCTTAGGGTCTTTGACCTTGTTGTCCTCTAAGAATCCACTAAGAATCCCACCATGCATCTGCCTGAGGCAGTCCCACACTAAGGATGTGTACTATACACAGGAGCAGTAGGATGTGGGGCAGAAATCCAGCCCTTCCCTACTCATCAGGCTGCCCACACATGGGGCTCTATCTGCCTTTTCATTCACAAAAAGGTGCTAGCCATCCATCAAGCCACAGACCTCTACGCTTTCTGCTTCCAGCAAAGAAACATCTTAGTTCTAATTGATGAAGTTAGGGAGCTTTTAAACACCTTTCCCTCTCCAGATGAGGTTTTCTAGTACTAACAAAAGCAAGTAATAGCATAACAGCCTGGCTCCTTTCTTTCCCTCAGGCCTTTGCTCAACTTTCAACTTTACAGTGAGGCCTCTTCTCCTCCCTCTTGTAAAAAGAGCAGTCCCTGCCCCCCAATGTACCTATCACCCCTATTCATTACCTACCTGGACTCATAGAATGTGACTTTGGGGGAACAGGGATTGTGACTTCTTTGGTGTGTATCCAAGACCTAGAACAGTGGCTGGCATTCAGCAGTGCTTAAATTGTTGAATAGATGAAAGAACATAGTTCCACAGAAATAACAAATGTCCAAACACTATCAGATGTTCTGGGCACGTGGACAGTCTTACAGCTATGTTCTAACACAGTCTTATGGCTTATGGCGTTCTCACATCTATCAAGAGGTTACAAACCACAAAGGACACATCTCCAGCCAGATGCAGTAATTATATTGGCCCACATGCTTCAGCTGCCCAGCTAAAACACTTTCCACTGGTGGTCCACAAAAGGCTTTACGATTCATAAATGTTAAAGTAGATCTACCTGGTTAAAGAGAGGGAAGAATTTTTTTTTTCCTCTAGACATGCAGGGAGACCCCATTTTATTTTTTATTGTACTCTGCTGCACAGATAGGTTTTTTGTTTGTTTAGCTGTTTTTTTTTTTTTTTTAACAAATTGAAGGTGTGTGGCAATTCAGCACTGAACTAGGCTATTGGCACCATTCTTCCAAAAGTTCAGATTACTGTTAGCATTTATTTGCAGTGAAGTGTTTTTATATTTCATACATTTTTTTTCAGATACAATGCTATTACACACTTCTGATAGTGTAAATGTGATTTCTATAGATACAGAAGTTGTACAACTGACTTTATTTCAATCCTCACTTTATTGCAGGGGTCTGGCAGAATCTGTAACATGTTCTCTAAAGAGTCAGTATTTACTGAAGTCAGATTATAAACATCGATAATAGAGGAAGGGGACACTGCCATGATCCATAGTTTCTGAGCATGTACATTTGCTATGAAAATCCTCTACTCAATTCCCCTTGGTCAGTCGTGGGATCTAAAGGAGAAAATGTCTCACTGAGAAACTAGGGGTGAGAGATATTACTTATATGTGCTGGGGTGCTTCCTGCTTTGAAGCAGTTACTGAATGGCATTGACAAATAGATATCATACAGATTATTAGAAATATAGATAATTTCTCAGGAATGATGACACATTCAGTTTATTCTACTTCATAAAATACTGGGGTGACTTTATAAGTAGATAAGGTAGAATCTGGGAATCAGTTAGTGCAGTCACATAACATATTTATATGCATATTTTATTCATATAGGTACATCAAAAATTTGATGATTAAAGAATAATAACAATAATTTATGTTAATCTCAACCAAAAAAGTCTTATGGCAATGTAAGAAAAAGCACAAACCAAGTCAATTTTATGCTTATTTTTGAAATATAAAAATTTGTCTCTGAAGGTGAAAATATATATATATATATATGTTGTTGAATCTTAAGAGCTATGATTATTTAACAAAACAACTAACTAGAGGCCAAGTTAGTGATTTCCCTAATGTCATCCAGCTAGTTAATGTTAGAACCAGAGTGATCCCTCATCACTCTACTTGCTTCAAGTGTTTCTCACCATATCACATACTTTGCCAATGGTATTTCTTCACTATGGATCATCATACTTCATTTTTTTTTCCTGAAGTCCTGGAAATTGAACCCAGGGACTTATACAAGCTAGGCAAGCTCTCTATTACTGAGCTATATCCCCAGGCCCTGATCTCATTTGTAAATTTTATTTTGAGACAGGGTCTTGCTAAGTTTCTGAGGCTGACCTCGAAACTTGTGATCCTCCGCCTTGACCACCTGAGTTGCTAGAATTATAGGCATGTGCCACTGTGCCTGGTATCTTATATTTTAGAATCAAATCAAGACAGAGTTCAAACTGGAAAGTAATTCTACTTATCTGTGATATATAGAAAACTATAGAAGCAACCATAATTCTTTTGGCCATCAGTCATTCTACCTGTTTAGTTTCCTCTACCATTTACTCTGGGGGACATTTCAAACCTTTGCCACTTTCCCCCAAACTTTATCCAATGACCACTTAAAGAACTCTCAGTCTACCTTTACAGAGTCCTTTATCAAGGCAATTCAAATTCACTCCCTCTTTGCATCCTGTGCCCTTCCTTAAATAAGCTCACTTTTTTTCTTTTCTTTTTTCTTCTTCTTCTTTTTTTTTTTAATAGCCAAACTAATCTCTATGCTCTTCTCTTCAATCTTGGGGACAACAGTTTCTATCTGTTCAACCTTAGACTTTCCTTTAACAATAAACTTCATTTTTTCTTGCCACATCTAGGATCTGCTCCAGAAGTAATCACATTGTATTATATAAATATTAAATATCTGCTCTCTATAAGCTCCTTCAGTATAAAACTATACTCCCATACTTTAAAAATTATTATTATAATAAAATATTTCTTGACTATTCTGGCAGTAAACAGATTTTGTGTTGAAGAGACTAAGAGATGTAAAATCAAGTTTTGATCCCAAACTTCTTAGCTGTGTGACCTTGATAAATTACCACGCTAAAGACTGGTTCTGTATAGCTCCCTTGTTTACACAATAGAGCATAATAGTAATTACTTTGTAATAGTAAATGAGAGTATGCATGTACCAAAGAAAACTGCAGGAAGTCATTGTTTGGGGCTTAGCTCCTATACTAAAATGGAATCACTCACACTAGAGCTCCACATCACTAACCTGAAACTCTTTATCTAACTTTCCAAGAAATAGTTTTGGAGAGATAACAGCCAAATTTCTCCAAAAGGCCAGTATCAATTGGCATGAAGATCACTCTGCTTTAATTCCTACACAAAAGAAGCAACCTGATATTACCTAACCAGGTATTTTCCTGTTGTTCTGTCCCCTTGTCCCCCTCCTTACAAGGAGAGTAATTCTGAAAAAACCAATCTAGTTTTTGATCTTTTGTTTCTTCTTTCTTTGGACTTTCTCTGTTTATAAAACTGCACTCTCCTGTTTAGGAGTATAATTCGACAATTACAACATGTATCAGAGAACGTTCCATTACCCAAAAATGAAAAATATTGTTTACTAGATAATTTGCCTGTAGAAAATAATTATTAGCCCTTGAAACAAACTATAATGATTTGAAGGCTTGTGAAAGTAATGAACATAGTGGAAATGGTAAGAGGAGTAAATCCTCCTATTAGAACTCAATAGCATTGGGTGAGACTTGCCCTTGTGTAGCTTTTCAACTGGTGGCCATTCTCCATCCTGGTAGTGCTGGAATCGGAGGCTTAAGCACAAAGCACCACCTGTATCTACCTGAGGAATGAGAACATGCAACAATGGAAGGAGGGCTGCCACAGTAAAGTCCACTAGCATCCTTGGTTGACTCTTGAAATACACATTAACAGTGCAGACCACACAGAGAATGACTAGGTGGCTGCTGAATGGCCGAGGGAACTGAGCAAAGATTTTGGCTGTTACAAGCTGCAGAGAGACAGAGTGTAAAATTATGAATCTAATCAGGGTAACTGCTTACTTGAACAAAATGCAAATCTTACAGAAGATAACAGAATCCAGAATCTGTATTATGTCATTCTTAATGTCTGAAAAATGATAAAAAGAAGCATCAGATATTCAAAGATATTAAGAAAAAGCCCCAGTGATCTAGTCTAGAGAAAAGCAGTCAATAGAAGCCAGGTCCAAAGTGATTTATATCTGAATTAGCAGATAAAAACTTGGAGCAGCCATTTTCAGAGAAAATACAGTCATATCATAAAGTTGAAGATTAAGAATTATTATTAGAAATAAAATATGAATGTAAGAAAAATCCAAAAGGGAAAGAGAAGTGTATTTGAAACTAATCATATGATCATGAGACAATAAAATGTTTCCCTCCAGACTTAAAATTCCAAGAAAGAAAGAAAGAAGAAAATGGTCAAAA